CCTTCCCTGCCCCTATACCACCTCCGGTTCGGATTAATGTTCTCTGACCTTCATATATTGATTGATTCCTCACCTGGCTCCCAAACCTGTCACTCTTTTAACCAAACTTGATCTGAATATATGCACATGACTGATGAGATCATCACGAACTAAATGAATTCAGCACATCCTGCTGTGATCATGATGCTTCTTATTGCATTCATGAAAATGTTAGAAGAAAATGGTTGCATGGAAGTTATTAAAATATTCCCATCCATCCACAAGAACATTGTTTGACAGATTACAGAAGACTACCGTCTTATACCTTGGTTGTGAAAAGATCATTAGTCTCAGGGGGATTCAAAATCACAAACGGGTATTGCATATAGAAAAATGGTTGTCTTTCGTAATATAGAAAAGACGACAACAGAACAATTGAACAATAACCTGGGAGGTTCTTTCAGTGAATTCTAAAAAACCTGTTGTGGCGATCATCACTCGATACAGATAGAAAACAGAGCAACTGATACGATCAACGGTGATGACAGAGTAAAAAGAGAGAGAGAGGCATGACAAAATTTACACAGCTTTCCGTTGCCTCCCGTCTCTTCAGGTTGGGATCCGATAGACTCTGTACTCAGTTGGTTGTAAACACTGAAAAGTGTGACAGCGAGCCGACGACAGTGGCGTTTTTGTTGTCATTTGTTATCAAGCTTGCTTGAAAAGAGGTATGCACGCACACAGTTCGATTGTGTGCCGATCACAAAGGTTCACTTCATTATCCCTGATCTGTCTACGTTAAATATTTTCACGAACTCCGTATAAATTGCGAGTTTGGCAAGGCGATCGGTGCAGATCGCATCACTGTATTTCGCTGTATGATGATGGCGGTGAATATTTCCAATGCGTTCAGACCACAAAAAAGGCTATGGTCTCGCTCGCTGGCTGGGGTGTGCGTAATGCACAAGACCGGATGATAATGGGCATGAACGAGGATGAAAACCAAACTAGCACACTTACCGATGAAACATTTCCGCTCACGAAAAAGGGAGAATCGGTCCAGGCGTTCGACGGACATTTCTTTCCAAAATTGCTTCAATTTGTGATATTCTCGACTAAAAACGAGATGCAAAAGTCGAACAATTTTGAAATTCAATCCCCTATTGGTTTCACAAAGCTTATTCTGACTTCAGTTAAAGTTTTGTACATCCGTTTTACTTATTGAATATACACATGTACAGCAAGCTTTCAGGAAGAGGGCTACGGCTGTACAAAGGCTGTCTGGGAGAGTACAGAAATGGGGAACATGGACACCAGTGGAACGGTTTGAACTCGGGATTTTCGGGTCACTATTGTGATGAATCTAACGACTTGACTAAATTAGAAGCTCAAACACGGTTGTTGTGGTTTTTGTTGGTCAATATATGTGCACCGACAAAGTGCTTAGTGAACATCATACATGCATTATGTTCGACGAATCACACACGCATGATTGATTTCCGGCCAATCACCATGGCTTCGTCTAATCTGTTCGTTACCGAGCCTCGGGTAATTTCTTTCAGAAGCCTCATTTGTAAAGTAGTCAAACTAATCGCCCCAGTTTCTACCAATGATCATAGTATTCTTCTTATCAGACCAAAGGTATACTCTTGCATTGCTTATCAAGCATTCATACGTTCTACTCAGATAAAATTTCATCTAAGGGACTTTCACCCAACCCCCATCTCTCTTCTCAACTGTTCCATTATGATTATTCAGTCTTGGTTTGGTTCTTGTCCTTCGCTCTTTAAATATATCAATCTATTCACTGAAACGATTAAATCGATCTTTAACTTATGTTGTCCAATGAAAACCCTCTTTGTCTGTAACGGTAGAATTACCTCACCCTTTTCGAAATCACTGAGAAGGTACAAATAACTGGCCTACAAATCTCGCCATGCATCAATTGCAAAGCACTATTCTGATCTAATCAGGTCCGAGATAACGTACCTAAATGCAATCATCGCCGCCCAAATTCTGCGAACAAAGAACATCAGGCTTTTATGGCAAAGTATTCGTCTTCTCTGTGGGCAGAACAGAAAACATTCTAATACCTCTGTGAATGTCAACAGCCTTAACGCCGCTTTTATCCACCCGCTAAATGAGAGCCGAATTCCCTCATTGCTATGCAATGAATCCAGTTCAGTGCCTTTTTCCAATGATTTAATCTTTGAGTTTCTTCAATCCTGCAACGCATCCTCAGCTGCAGGCCCAGATGGTCTTCCTCCCGCAATTCTGAAATTTGGAGCAGCTTCCCTAACCAATATGATGACATTCGTCGTCAATGAGTCCCTATCTTCCCGGTCGACTCCTGATTCTTGGCGTCCAGTGACCATTATTCCGATCCCCAAATTCACGCCCTCAATTGTTCTTGCGAAACGGTTTCGTCACATCGCGCTGACCTCAGCGGCTCTAAAGTTAACGGAAAAAGCCATCCTGAGTCGTTTGCAGTCAGACACCACAATTCCTCACGACCCCCTTCAGTTTGCATATAAACCAAACAGATTTACATTGGACGCCGTATCCACTCTAGTGCATTTTATCAGTAAGTCCTTGAACCATTCAGCCAAGTCTGTCCGTTGTGTTTTTCTTGACTATTCGTCCGCGTTTGATCCTGTTTCGCGATCATCCCTTCTTGAATCTTTTGGCACTCCAAAACAACTGCTCTTATGGCTTGCTGATCATTTCACAGATAGGGTCTAGTGCACCAAATTTGGAAGGACATCAAAACTTCTCGTGAATAATTCTGGTGCTGTTCAATCTCCATATCTTTTTTCTACCTTTATTTGTGATCTTTCGGTCTCACCCCCTGCGCACATCCGAAAATATGCTGATGACGTTGTTTTGTGTCAGACAGTTTCATTTCCTTCGGAATTTCATTCTTCTACCGAAAACCTATCCCACATCCAACAGTTTTCTTACCAATCCGGTCTCAGTCTTAACATATCTAAGTGCGTAGAGTGTATTTTCAGTCTTTCCGGCTCCTCATTTCCAACGAACTCTGCTACCCTTAACGGTAAACCTGTAACCAGAATGAACTGAGTCGAGTGCCTGGGTCACCATCGACAGCAATCTTCATATTTACAACTGTATGGGAAAACTGAAACGCTTGTCTTTTCAGTTACGCAAATTCAGGCAATTCCGAACCCCACAGTCAGTCCTGTCATCCTTTGTTCATCAATGCGTTTTACCCATTCTATTTTATTGCTCTCGTGTAGTGTTTCCCGGTCTTTTAAAACAAGACTTCAAAACAATTCGCCGTGGTTTGATGATCATCAGTCGTGCATCATTAATTCCGATCAATTCATTAATCACAGAACTCTTTGACGGTCACATCAACTATTGTTGTGAATTTGCTCATAAGATTCTAGATGACACTCTTCATCCACTACACCCTGATCTATCGTCTTGTCGTTCCCATCCGTCCACACGCTCCTCATTTCGACATCTACCCTCTCGCATTAAAATTTTTAAAAATTCCCCTGTACTGTACCTGGCCTGAATCCTAACCAAAAAGGAGCAGATCGCGAGTGGACTAAGACAAAATTTCTGTACAAGAAACAAACATCACCGACATTCTTAACCTTTCCTTTATTATTATTATTATTATTATTTCATGCTGCGTGACGAGCAATGTACATTTTTAAATGAAATGTAAGCAAGTTATACAAAATACAAATGAACTAAGCACAACTAATACAGGGAACGCGCCATGAAAGAATAAACTCAATTGCTTCTGTCCCCCTTCCCCCACCCACCTATCCCTGACCCGAAAGATCTCGGGGGTCAACCAAATGGATGATGATGTTTTGCACAGAAATCGCAACCACAGCACGGGATATGTGCAATAATCGGACAATTTATGACGATTCAACGCAATTAAATTCCAAGTAGTGTGCGCAATCGCCATTAACGGATAGCAAATAAAGGAACGTGAACAACGAATCAGTGCGAACCGGATGATAGCAATCATTTGTGGGGAACCCAAACAAAACAAAACTCACTGCTTGTCTATTCGGCGTTTTTCGTTTTCTGCGGCTGTATTATCCCAGAGATAGTAACCCAGTAGGTATTTCCATACGATGGGCCTCAAGCTTGGCTCTACACCCTGGAAAGTAAAACCAGTGGGTACAGTGAACTAGGATAGAGTAGAATGGGAAATATTATCGCTGTCAATCAGCAATGGTTTGAAGCTTTGGCATTTTTCGGTCAGGATGATGCTGGATAATGTAGAACACGAGCAGAGACATGAAAAGAGAGTCAGAGAGGGAGAGAGAAAAATCCCTCCATAGCTCCATTACCTGGACGTTCACTTTCAATAGATGGTAGTTTCGTCGAATCCGGAGCACTAGATCTATTGTACTTTTGAGGGAGAACCATTCCACGTCGGCAATGTGACTGAGTAAAGTGTCTGCATGTTTACCCGACAGCGGCTCGCATCTGACTTGGATCCATGACTTGAGTTACATGCGTATTTATTTGTCTGTCTACTGTTAGGACCCGTTTCGTACAGTCGTTTGTAGTCTGTTTAATGCACCCACCCTCCTTCCCGTCTATGAGTTTGTATCCATTTGTTTACCACATAGTTGCTTTGTGAGCAGTCATGGTTTACCACCACCAACTGTCTTTGTGGTGCCCCCCNAGAGGAGTCGATAAGAACAGTCAACTAGGACCTCCAAAAACAGTGTTTCATGTTGACAAAATATTGAAAATCGGTTCTCGTACCTCGGGTGAACTGAATTCCATTTCGCCTGTTCGTCGAGCTTGGCGAGCATGTTTCAGTTCAAGTTTCGATACTGTCAAGTTTATGGCTCAGATTCTAGTTCAACCGTGTCTGTTGCCTAGGTTTTGCTAACATGTGCTATTCGGGGTCCAGAAAAGCACAACCTGAATGAAATCGTTCAAAATTTACGACAGTCCGCGTTTCGTGACAGACGGTAGGTTTAGAGCGGAATGGCCGAACACTGGAATGCACTGGATNTGGATAAAGAAAAAGGTAATCGATGCACATGGTGATGTGATATTGCGCGGATAACGAGCGACAATATCCTCGATTGTATCGCCCAGAATTAGCATGATGATTCTTTGGATACCTGATAAACAACAATAACTACGAAACCAGTAGTGTTTATGAGCAATTTATCCAACCATACAATCAATCTCTTTCACGTCCTCATACACAAGAAATGCATATGCAGGCATAAATTCATTCATTCAATTATTCGACACTAGGAGCCACGAGTTCCACTAACGGAGAAATACACAATGTCCACTCAGTAACCATGCTAAAGGAGATCAACTCCGCATGTTACCCGCACAGTCCCCCCCCCCCNCCCCCCGTTAAATACAAAGGAAATAATTGAAACCGCGCGATTGGTATTACCACGGAAAACGGTAATGACAGTACTGGTAACATTACTACTCATTACTAATCGTGACAGATATATTATTAGTTTTGCTTTCTCTATTTATGTGAGATTCACAACCACAGTGCAACAAATGGACAGTATGTAATCGAAGAATGTCAGGAAAAATGGAGCAAGGAGCCGAATGATGGTGGTGCTGGTGATCAAAGAAATATGAATAATTCATGATCATGGGCTTCGAAAGCCTCAGTATAGTCGGGGTGGGTGTCTGGGATTGTGACTGGTCACCATTTCCTTACACTTTGCGAAATGTTCCCATATGACCAAGCGTCTCAAAAGCGTCTCGAAAAGCCGGGTTGGTGAACCATTGACAATTCACCTAAGGGAGTTAGCTGAAAACCCTGATTCCAAACCAATCAAGAAGAGGCGTAAGAACCACACGCACATCTTCCTGGTCGCGGCAGTGGTCACCGGCTCAATTGGGCATCGAGGTGTATTGGGCACCTTGAACGTTTGACCCGTCTAAAGAGTGTATGATTCAGTGAACTGGACACCGACCCCCAATGGGCTTCGGACTCTGAGCTCCGTCCTGTTGTCTTGCAGATCTGGCTTTCTAGCCAAAGGTTTCGGGTGGGGACCCCGAGGGTATCCCCCTCCCTCGGCCAGGGCAACCGGGAAGTAATATGCCCACACAACCCATGAACACATTCTTCAAATTTCTTTCTGTTCATATGTTGTGGCACATTTGCCAGTTCTCTGTAATTGGTTACGTGTTGAATAATAATGATAATAATATATACCCCTCATTTACTAAGTCCATAGATTGCACAAGATAGTGACAAAAACCCGGTTACAGTCCTGGATCGAATAAGAGAATTAAAGCTGAAACCAAACGAAAACTGCTATTCTTTGACGTCACATCTATTTACAAACAAATAGAAACAACTAGTTCTGTAGAGCATGTAGAGCACGAGTGGAGTCAGTCTATGCCCTCGATAAGCCTATGAGTAAATTACATTGAGGCTGAGTTTCTCTCGGATAAAACCGATTACTTTGAATCAAATGCGATTGCTTACGTATTTCTGACACTGAAATGCACACTTGACAAGATAGTCAGCATGCATAAGATGATGGGTGTTACTATTGCAGTTAGATTCTTCCCTCGAATTATTCGCCACTGGGATCAAAGGTGACTCCTTTATCCGAAATGAAAATAAATCCAACTTATGTTGATTACTTTGACTAAACCGGGACAAACTTCAGTGACCGATAGTTTTTACTCTTTGCACCCTATCGAAATGCAAAATGTTGACCTGCCCAACCTAGTTTGTGGGTTTTGCATGGTCGTTTGGTTTTACCGATGCACGAACGGTCTGCATGATTTGGCTTTAATCACCACGTGTCCAGTTATTATTCACTGCAAGGTTGACTAAACAATAGATGACAAAACAGATTTGGTTTGACTGAACGCATCAAATTTGAGTTTTCGGGACTCGTGCGAACAAATCAACCATCTTAATCCGCTAAAATAAAAATCGGCAGGTATCTGTGAAAAATGCACTATTTTCTGCTTACTGAGGTCGCTATACTCACCTCAGGTCGAGCAAGGGACTAAAACGAACTAAGTAGGCGGTTCGTCACCCGCAATGGCTTTGGTCAGCAGTACCCTAGTTCGCGATTCCATTATTTCGTAGACGTATTTCGATTGTCGGTGTTTACGTAGTTTAGCCCGAGCGGAATGGAGTGAACCAGTATACTGGAGGTAAGCGGTCATGTGTTTGGGTGTTTATCATGGATAAATCTGCTAGCTCATCGAATTCAGACTGGTAGGCTTCGCTGGCTAGGGTACGTATTGCGTATGCCCGTCGTCAGCCATACCACGCTTTATTCGCTTAAGCTGTTAGTGAGTGAATGTTTGCAAACAAACTATCGGATTAGGATAGATAAGGCTAAGCCAGGTAACATGTGTGAAGTGGACATGATAAGAGAAATGTTAGACAAGAATGAATAAAACAAGTGTGAAAATAAGAGAAAAAGACAGTCAATGAGAAAATTAGGAGAATGTAAAAGTGTCACACAGGGTAATCACTCTTATGGCCATGGCAACAGCAAAGTTTCCACTCCGTTCTAACTGATATGACACAATACCTAATGATCTGCCCGTGCCATATCTGGTGATTCATTAGCCTGGAAACACATTGTTGAGAAAAAAATTCAGCTGCCATTGAGGAGCTGGTTCGGAAAGCCAACCGTTCTGTTTCGACGTTTCCCTGTTCGTTTTAGACATCTCACGGTTAACAATCACTACAAGATTGACTAAATGAACGATGACAAAACAGATTTGGTTTGACTGAACGCATCAATTTTGAGTTTTCGGGACACGTGCGAACAAACCAACCATCTTAATCCGC